CTCCAGCAACACTGGTAAATCGAGAGCAAGTTCAGCGGGTGCCCTACCCCCCAATGGGTTCCCCCACAGGGGGGCAGATAGATGGGTGAAGCAGTGAAGGCTCAAGGAGCCCTGACGAAGGTGAGGGACCTGGAGGGACCCAGCTAAGCTGCTCTCAGGATAGGGGGAGATTTTCCATAGCAGCCTCTCCCCTGTTGGCCAGCCCTCCCTACGCACCTCCCCGGAGGGCGGTAACAGCCCCTGCTTCCCACTCCGGGGCATAGCAGTGGTTGGGGCCTATTCCTGTGTTAGGTGGGATTGTAGAGAGATGTGAAAGGAAATGAATTGTGCGACACTGCGAGCTCCATTCCCATCCCCCAGGCCCCAGAGGGGTTAGTGTTTTCCAGTGAAAGGCGCAGGCTCTAGCTCGGAGGCAATGAGATGCCAACCCCACTGCTGGGGGTGTGCAGGAGCTGGGGAGGGGGGAATTCACCAGCCTGCACCAGGACCATGTAAACCAGGGGGACCATAGTGACTACATGCACCACCTCCTTCAGCAAGGGGCAGGGAGGGTTCTGGGTAGGTGGAGGGTGCAGAGCAGTCGGGGGGGGGGGACGGGACCTAGATACTAAGCAACAGGAGCGGCTGCAGCATCTGAACGGAAAGAGGGGAAGGGGTTCCCCAGCCGGTCTGAGGGCAGCATGGGGCAAAGAGGGGCTCCCACTGCAGGGGACTCCCTGAGAACAAAATATAAATACAAAGGAAACAGAAGTGATCACACACTCAGCAGCAAGGGGGGTGATGAGACTCACCTCTGGATCCCCTTCTCCAACCCAGCAGCTGAGTCCCAGGGGTTTCCCCTGAACACCCCCTACCAGCCCCCTAGAAGTGTCTCCCCAGCCCAGCATCAGATCCACAGCTTGAGGGGTGGAGGACAGCTCAGTGCAGCTGAGGGAGTGGGGCTGGGGGCTAAAGGGGTGGTGTCCCCACTCCGAAAGGGGACTGTCCATACAGCAGCATGGGAGTGAGTTTCCAGAGTAGGAGGGGCCAGGCCAAGCCACACGGAGGATGGGGAGCCCCCAGTCTCTGTGCACGGGGCACGACCCTCCCCAGTCACTGCACACTGGGTGGGGCGGGGAGCCAGCCGATGGAGGTGTAACAGCAGGTGTTGTCTCCTCTACTCTGGCCCACAGGGGTTGTGGGGGTGTCTGTGGAGGTGTCCGAGGGGGTCACCCCAGCAGGGAGCTGCGTCTGGACAGGTCCACAGTACTGGCACTCAGGCCCCGGCTCTCGGAGAAGCTGCTGCTCGTTGGCTGCAGGGAACAGGGCGGGGGGTGAATGTCAGACAAGACTCAGCTCCTTAGAGGGGATGAAGCTGCACAGGGGAGGAGGACAAGGCCTGAGGCAGGAGATGGCTCCTGTGACACCTGCCTCACCTCCCACCCACCACGTTCGTACAGGGGACACTCGGGGAGAGTCCCTGGGGGCCCCTGGCGGCACGTGAGGCTGTCGCCTAGGCATAGACTGGCTGGGACATCAGCACGGACGTGACTGGGCAGAGCAGGGGGCTCCCACTATGGGCAGATGCTCGCACCTGCAAGGGTGTGTGCAAACATGCGACCCCTCCCCCTTCACCGCCCCCCCCCGCCCATGCAGGGAGGCCTGGCATCGGCCCACTATGGCTGGCCCAGCTCAGGGGCAGAACCAGGTTCCTTCCCCTCAGCTGTGACCAGCACCTGCACGTAGATGGAGGGGGACAGAGCTCGAGCTGTCCTGGGGTGGGAATGAGGGCAGAGGCAGCCAGGCAGGGGCACAGGAAAGGTGGGGAGCTACAGGGGAGGGGCCCAAGCTGCACCTCTCCTCCCCTGCCCACTTCTCACCGGGCTCGATTCCTCCATGCTCTTGTTGAGGAAGTTCAGCGAACTGGCCCGTTTCATTCTGACGGGGAAGAGAAGAGAGTCAGGCAGAACCCAGGAGTCTGGGCATTTCCCCACCTCTCCTCCCCGAACCAGAGCCCAGGACCCTGCCCTCACCCCTCCGAGATACACAAAGGAGGAGGTGGGTGAGGGACAAGCTCAACAGAAAGGGCCGGGAGGAAGAGGGGGACGCCTGAGAGACAGACAGACAGATGGACGGACAGTTGGACATGGGGGTTAACGTACCCCAGGTTCCTGGGCTCCTGAGGACTGCTCCCCTGCAGCTTCTTCACCAGCATCTCACTGCTCCGGCGCAGGGCATCCCGCAGCTTCCCGAAGGAGCCGCTCCGGCGCAGGGCTCCAGAGCCATCCTGGGGGGCAGGACAAGTCGCAAGGGGACACCCTGACAGAACCTCCTGAAACCCCCCCAGAACGACCCCCGGATACACCCCCAAAAATTCACCCAATCGGGGCAGGGCTCGGCCACAGTCCATGTGACCCTTCTGATAGCCCACACACCCGATTTCCCCCCCATGGCTCAGCTCGGGGCGAGAGTAGGGAATCCTGGGGCTGACCCATGGGGAAGGGGAAGCCCAGCGCAGGGACTGGACCCCAGGGCCGACCCAGGGGCAAGGGGATACCCAGTGGGGATACCTAGCTAAGTGGCCCCTGGCATTCTGGCCCTGCCTGTCGATCCCTGCCCCCTGCAGCAGCTTCTCACCCCAGCCCATTCCGTGCCCATCCCGTCCTCAGGCTCGGGCCCGTTCTCAGTCTTGGCAGCACTGCTGGGCAGGCTCTCCCGGCTGGTCCTGCGCTCCGGCCTGCCCCCATCCTTCAGCAGCTCCACCACCCTGGTCTGGCTGATGGCGTGCACACCCTGTGGGGAGATGCAGCATCCGACTGTGCTTAGGGAACGAAACACACCGTCCTCGGCCAAAATCAACCCACTTCAAAGGGCACTGCACATCCTGACAACCCGTGTTATGGTGGGATGGGAGCTTAGCTCCACTCTCCACAGCTCTGGGAGTGGAGCTAGGACGCCTGGTTTCCATCCACAGCTCTGGGAGAGGGTTTTCCTGCTTCCTGATTTAAATAATAATTAAAATCATTAAACCCAGGGGGAGGAAATCAGAACACGGCAATACAGAGAGTGTCCAGGGGCCTGGGCTCCCATCCTCCTGCCTGAACCCACTGGACCCCTCTTCCCTGGCAGTGGGGTGCGGAAGGGAATTGAGGAAACCAGCGCAGCCGCCCCCCCCAGGGCCCAGTGGTACCTGCTTGCGGGTTTTCATGGCACACTCCTCCAGAGTCTCAGCAGCCTCCAGCTTGCCCTGGCGCCGGTACAGAGCCCCCAGACTCTTCAGGGTGGTGTTCACTGTAGGGCTGTGGGAAGGGGAGGGGACCCACAGGGGCCAATAGCCTGCTCAGTGCCCCATGTGCACAAAGGAAATGGACTGAGAAGGAGGGGCTTAACCAACACCAAATAGGGACAAATCTGGGCACTGCAGCCAGGAGTCCTGGCTCTTTCCCCCCCCCGCCCCAAGCCATTAGACTCCCAGAGCAGGGATAGAACTTAGGCCTTGTCATTCTCCCGTTCCAGGACTCCTGAGGCAGGAGGTGGCTCCTGTGACACCTGTCTCATCTCCCACCCCACCACGTAGATCCAGGGGGACACTCAGGGAGAGTCCCTGGGGTCCCGAGGGCATGTGGGCTTGTAAGCTAGGCATGGCCCTGGGGTGGGGCTTGGGGCAGACAGGCTGGGACAGTCAGTGCTGACAAGGGCTCAGCAGGAGGAGACGTGTCCGGGCAGAGCAGGGTGTGCACCATGGGCAGATGCTCACACCTGCAGGGCTGTGCGCACCCGTATGGCCCCTTCCCCTCCCTGTGCGGTCAATGTTCCTTCAATTTTTTTTCAATCCATGTGCAGAATAAATTTTGTGGTGACCACTGAGGCATGTGCAGATGCGCACCACCAGTAGAAACCCATGCTGATGGCTAATCACCCTGGCAGCATTTGAATCTCTCCTTGGCGGCTGCCCAAGTGCTCAGCCTACAGGGCACGCTGTTCCTGGCCCGCTTTGCTCTAATTCCCAGACAGCTGCTGTGAAGGGGCGAGGCCTGACGGATGTGGGAGAGCACAGCCACCCGCCAACTGGGCCCTGTGCTTTGCCCTCCGCAAGCAGCACTCACCTGTCTACCTTGCAGGCCTTGTACCAGCTGCCGTACTCCCCATAGGGGACACCGTCCTTGCTCCTGTCCTGTAGGAAGCACAGACACACGGGAGAGCCCCAGTCACAGCGCAGGAGCAGGGACACCCCCCGCAGCCCAATGAGACCCCAGTCCCCTCATGTCTGGGTACCTTGCTCTCCTCGCGCTCCTCTGCATGCATCCAGATCGGCTTTTTTTTTCCTGCAGAGACAGACAGGGCGGGTTACAGCAGCGCCCCACACACTCCTGGCTGCACTGGGACGGATACACCACCAGAGTGGGGCTGGTGAAGAGACTCCCATCCCACTCCCGACAGCACATTGCCCCCGACCCCCACTGCGGCCAGCCCTGACGGCGAGGGGAGAGCACCCCCGCTCCCAGACTCACCATTGACTGAGCCAAACTCCTTCTCGTGTGCCCGAGTCAGGATCTCCTTGTACAGCGCCTCAGCCTCTTTGTACTTGCCCTGTTTCAGGTAGCAGGATGCCTGTGGGGCAGATCTGGGGTCAACATGGTGAGCATGGGGATAAGGTCTGCTCAGGGACCTCAAGGGCAGGAGCAGGGTCCGGCACAGAGGGGTGTCTGTCCACTGTAGGCAGCTGGACACACACAAAACACTGCTCTGGCCTGAACCGCCTAGTCTGGCCACAAGGGGGCGAGGCTGAGCCAGGCAGTCCTGAGATGGGGGCAGCGGGCCCTTTACCCTCACCTGCCCCTCCCTTGAGGAACCCAGAGCCCATATTCAGCCTTGGGGAAGGGCAGATGCTGTCGTCATCATCTGAAAGGGGAAACAAGGACACCGTGAAGGGACGGGACCTCCACACAGTCCCACAGAGTCACGGGGGGGGCCGGAACCCAGGCGTCCGCACTCCCCGCATGGCGTGTGTGCACAAGGGCTCTCTGCCTACCTGCCCGTAGCACCAGCTCTCACCAGGTTGTTCTTTGTCTTGGCAACGTTGGGGTCGTCAGGGCCCAGGCGGCTCTCGTAGATCTCCAGCGCCCGGCCGTAGTAGTACTGCACCTCCTCCGCCTTGCCCTGGTTCTGGCACAGCAGCGCCAGGTTGTTCAGCTGCTTGGCCACGTCGGGATGGAACCGGCCCAGCACCTGGGGGCAGAGGGTTGTTGACAAAGTGGGAAGCTCTGGTAACAGATTTTACAAAGCCTGTGAGTGCCTCAGTTTCCCCAGCTCATTGTCTGGCTACACATGGTGGTGGAAAGAAATGAAGCTGGCTCTCGGGGCAGGCTAAACAACACAAGGGTGGGAGCACATTTTCTAGCTGTCCAAGTGGACTGAATGGGTCATTAAAATGGCCATGCAAGACCAACCGGAGGGCTAGCTGAGAAGCCGGCAAACCGAGCGCCTGGAAACTGACTTCCAGC